GCGAAAAGTATACACATTGTTTGAGTGTGTAGGATGGAAAGACAATATTACTGAGCTTTTGTTGGATCACTGAACGGAACTGTCTCCAACATCACTGTATGAATGTCCACTTTATGTTTTAATTTTATAATTTGGACAACTGTTTCTAAGAAGACAATATGTAACCTATTAACTAGTGATTTCTTACTGTATATTTTTTTTCTTGAAATTCTGTATTACTTGTACCCTTTTACTGCTTTGTTTTTTTATGTCCTTTCTTTTTTCTCTTTAAATAAAAAAAAAAGTATACATAGACGTTGTGGATGGGAATATAAATTGGTACAGTTATTATGAAGAATTTACAGAAATTCCTGAAGAATTAAAAATGGAACTACAGTATGATCCAGCAATTCCATCTTCTGGGTATACTCAAAGAAAGTGAAAACTGCCACTTCATTAAGATATCTGCCACTTTATTTGTGACAAAGGGACCAGACATATTCACTGGAAGAAAGCCCTTTTCATAAATAGTGCTGGAGGGACAGGGCTTTAGCGCAACAGCATAAGCACCTGCTTGGCAAATGCGAGGTTGTGAATTTGATCTCTGGTACCAAAAAAATATAAATAAATAATAAATAAATAAATAGTGCTGGAAAAACTGGCTTTCTACATGCAGAAGACTAAAACTAGACCCATGTCTATCATCATGTACTAAAGTCAAAATGGATCAAAGATTTAATATTACAACAGAATCTCTAAATCTACTGGAAAACCCAGTAATTAGATATCTTTTTTTTTTTTTTTTTTGTCTTTTTCATTTTTATCGGTACCGGGGATCGAACTCACGACCGCCTGCTTGCAAGGCAGGTGCTTATGCCGCTGAGCTAAACTCCCAGCCCCGTAATTAGATATCTTGAAGACACAGGAGTAGGCAGAGAGTTCATGGACAAAAAATGCAAACTGCACAGAAAATACTTCAAAGATCAACAACAGGACTCATTAAAGTTTTTGTCCACTGATTGAGATGTTTTGAAATTTTGTTGTAGTTTTTTTTTCCCCCCTTTTATCCTTAAAATAAAATGGATTTGGAGAAAAAAAAAAAGATTTTGCACACCAAAAGAAATCACCAGGGGCTGGGGATTTAGCTTAGTGGCATAAGCGCCTGCCTGGCAAGCGCAAGGTTGTGAGTTCAATCCCCAATACCAAGGGAAAAAAAAAAAAAGAAAAGAAATCACCAACAGAATAAAAAGACAACCCACAGAATGGGAAAAATTTTGACCCAACTGTCCCTCAAAGGACTTCTATCTAGAACATATAAAGAACTGTAAAGAATCAGGCCCCCCAAATTCAAAGACCCAATCCAAAAATGGGCGTCTGAGATGAATATACACTTCTCAGATGAAGAAATACAAACAGCAAATAAATATATGAGAAAATGTTTGACATCACTAGTCAGTTGAGAGATGTAAATTAAAACAACACTGAGATCCTGTGGGGGATGAGGTGTCACTTTGTAGGCCCAACCCCCTCTAACCTGTAATTTACAATAGCCGCCCTGGTATGCGAGAAGGAGGTAGAACGGGAATGCCTGTTCTCAGTGAGCCCTCACCCTCTGGAATCCATACTGTGAGCTGGCTTTGTTTTGCAGAAGTCTTGAGGAAGTGGCTGGCCACCCTTTGTGACACTAACAGCAGACAAATTAACAACATTCTTGAGCTAATGAATTTCTTCCTGGGCTAGAGAAGTTGTGAGAACTGGTTGTGATTATTTACTTCACTTAGATAGTTTTAGAATAAACATTGTAGTCTGTCACGTTGTAGCTTGCCACAAAGAATGCCTTTTCACTACTTAATTATCTGGGCTCTGTGAATTGATCGGGTTTACTATATATGAATCCTAAAATAAAGATTGTGCGTACAGTGCAGTGCAGTGCAGTGTAACGCGGTGCAGACAGCAAAGGTGTCTCTCCTGTCTTTCTTTTCCAAGCGCTGTACCCCCCGTGTCCCGACAAGGCGTGCGTGTTTACCTTGCCCGGAGTTCAGAGTGCTCTAGACACTCACGACAAGTGGCGCCCGAATTCAGGGACTCCGAAGGTCGCTTAGGAAGGTAAGTATAATTTTATTACGGGGAAATGGGACAATCTGCTTCCTCTCCTTTCTTAAAAATTCTTAAACATTTATTATCTATATATGGCATATCGCTCAGGTCAGCTGACTTGGATATGTGTATTGATACAATTAAAGAATATAATCCTTGGTTTCCAGATGAAGGAACTTTGGATGTAGAAGTATGGAGGAAGGCAAGGGTTAGTATAGAAAGGGCTATGCAACAGGAGGAGAAGATTCCTTTACGTTTTTGGGCTATTTGGTCGGTTGTGTACTCTTTATTAAAAGCTATGGAAGATGAACATATTGTAGAAAATCTTCAACTAGAAATTAAGCCAGTTATTCAGGAATTGCCCCTCACAGAGGAGGAACAGAATGTAGTTCAAAATGACGCTATCGCTTTAAGTAGTGAAAAGGCGTCCAAACTAAAAGTAAAATCCACTACAGCCGACTCAGCTTTAGCTGCCGCAGCAATATCAAATTATGACAATCGCCCAATTTTACAGGCTATACAACATTTAACACAAGAGGTGAAACAACTCTCCGTTAAGCAAAACCCGCCTATAGTTCCCTCTGCACCTCCTCCATCTAACCCTAATTGGAGTAAAGCCAAGCTAGCTTTGGCTGATCTACCAAAATTAGGGGATTCTGATGAGGAAAAGCCTGCCTTTGCTTTCCCTGTAATCAGGCCACAGCCAATAGATGGAGAGGCAGTTCCCCCTAGATGGGAAGCATTTAATATGGATGATTTAGCAAAATTAAAAAAGGCTGTAACCCTTTATGGCCCTCAGGCTCATTACACTAGAGAATTAATAACATCGGTAGCAGATCACTATGGTAATCTTGCTCCTTATGATTGGAAAGCCTTGGCCAAAATTCTTTTAAAAGAGCCAGAATATTTACAGTGGCACATGTGGTTTATGGAAGGTTGTGCGGAAAAGGCAAGACAAAATGCTGACGATCGAGATCCGAATATTAGACTCCTTTCTTATCCCATGCTCTCTGGTACAGGTTTCTTTGATACTGTTGAGCATCAGGCAGGAGCTCCAAGAGAGATTCATGCTCAATTAAAAGATATTGCTTTAAAAGCTTGGGATAAAATACGGCCTAAAGGATCAGAATATGGATCTTGGGCTAAAGTTCTGCAAGGAGCCAATGAACCGTATGTTGAGTTCGTTGCAAGACTTCAAAATGTTATAGAAAAAACAGTAGTGGGACAAGACTTACAAGAGCATCTCTTAAAAATGTTAGCTTTTGAAAATGCTAATGATGAATGCAAAAGGGCTTTAATTCCAATAAAAGATACTGGAACGATTGACAATTTTATAAAACAATGTAAAGATTTAAATTCAGAATCTAGGAAAATGCAACTGTTTGCTGAGACCATGGCAACCACGTGGACTAATTGGCAATCTAAAAAGGAACAGTCTTTAAAATGTTTTAATTGTGGTCAGATAGGACATGTAAAGAGGGCCTGTCCAAAACTTGTAGGCAATGATCAAAAAAAGAGATCTAGAGCTCCTGGCTTATGTCCAAAATGCAAGAAGGGAAATCATTGGGCTCGTGAATGCAGGAGTAAACAAGTTAATTCAGCTGAACAAAAGGGAAACGGGAGAACGGGCCCTACCCCGGGCCCCGGACAAATCAATGGGGTAACTCTACCGTATTCTCCCTACAGCCAGCCACCCAACACAGTGCCGCAGTGGACATACCAGCCTTAAAAGATGTAGAATTAAGAGGAGGACAATCTCCCGTGAGAATTCCTACAGGAATTTTTGGTCCTCTGCCTGCGGGAACTTTTGGCTTGCTCACGGGTAGATCTAGTTTAAATCAAAAAGGCATTACTGTTCACTTAGGAATTATAGATGCAGATTATACTGGAGAAATTCAGATTCTGATGTCCTCACTTACAGATTATAAATTATTAAAGGGAGAACGTATAGCTCAACTCATTTTACTGCCTTATATCCCAATAGGATCCTCTGTTGTTCAGCGAACAGGAGGGTTCGGCAGCACTAACCCTATTAATGTAATGTGGACAGCTAAATTATCTCAACAACAACCTCTTATTAATATTTTTATTGAGCATAAGAAAATTCAGGCTCTTATAGATACAGGCTCGGATATTACTATTGTTAAACCTACTGATTGGCCTTCTCATATTACTTATACTATTATTCCATGTAATATAAAAGGAGTAAGTAAAACTCCAGTAAATACAATTGGACAAGCCACAATGCATATACATATAAAAAATGAAGAGGGTCAAGTTGCTGTTATTAAACCTTATATCTTAGAGGTACCAGTTTCTATTTTAGGAAGAGATGTATTAGAACAATGGGGAGCTTATATACATTTTTAATATTTTGCATGTTTCTACAGCCTAGGGAAATGAATCCTTTAAAGCTTAATTGGAAAAATGATGACCCAATTTGGATAGATCAGTGGCCTATGACTACTCAAAAGTTACAGACAGCGCAGGAATTGATTGATCAACAGCTTTTTCTACATCACATAGAACCATCCACATCTCCTTGGAATTCTCCAATATTTGTGATAAAAAAAAAATCAGGCAAGTGGAGACTTTTAACGGACTTACGTGCTGTAAATTCATCCTTAATTCAAATGGGAGCCCTTCAGCCCGGTATTCCTTTACCCTCAGCGCTCCCTGCTGGTTGGTTTGTATATGTTATAGATTTGCAAGATTGTTTTTTTTAACATCCCATTACATCCAGAAGATAGAAAACGGTTTGCTTTTTCAATTCCTCAAACAAATTATCAAAGACCTTATCAAAGATATCAATGGAGGACTTTACCCCAAGGAATGAAAAATTCCCCAACTATATGTCAAATTTATGTTGATGCAGCATTAAAACCAGTGCGTACACGATGGCCTCAGGTTTATACGGCTCATTTCATGGATGATATTTTATTCTCATATAGTGATAGAAATGTTTTAGAAGATATTTTAAAAACTTTACCTCAATATTTTTCTCCGTTTGGACTTGTAATAGCACAGGATAAAATTCAAAAGGAAGAAGTTAGTCATTATTTGGGATATATTCTTACTAGACAAAAGGTGATTCCACAAAAAATGTCTATTAGGAGAGATAAGTTATCCACTTTAAATGATTTTCAAAAATTATTAGGGGATATTAATTGGCTTCGTCCCACACTAGGTATTCCTACCCATGCATTACAGCATTTGTTTGCTACTCTACAGGGCTCTTCAGATCCATCCAGCCCTCGTTCTTTAACAACAAAAGCCGAGCAAGAATTACAGTTTGTAGAACAACGAATTAAGGATGCATTTTTAATTAGGATTGATCCTAAATTGCCTCTAACTTTATATATTATTAATACTTTTCAATATCCCTCTGCAGTTTTAGGTCAAAATGCTATGCCAGTAGAATGGGTATTCACTAAAACTAAGCAATCTAAAAATGTTATGCCTTATATTGACATGGTTGCAGCTTTAATTATGAATGGTAGAGCTCGTTCTATAACTTTAATAGGAGAAGATATAAACAATATAGTTATCCCTTTAACTAAGGAACAATGGGAATATTTGTTGTCAATTACTGAAACCTTACAAATTGCTTTAACAGATTTCATGGGAACTTTTTCATATCATTTTCCTAAAAGTAAATTATGGGATTTTTTTAGACGTCAACAATTTGTGGTTAATACCTTATTAGCTGTACAGCCAATTCCACAAGCTTTGACTATATTTACAGATGGATCTAAAAATAAAGCTGCATATTGGACTCAAAAATCTTACTGGGTACGTCAGACAAATTTTAACTCTGTACAACAAAATGAACTTTTTGCTATATTACAAGTGTTTTTAGATTTTCATAACCAACCTATTAATATTATAGCCGATTCGGCCTATTCTGTTGGAGTAGTGACAAATATCTATTCAGCTGTGTTATATTCTAATAAGCCTGCTTTATTGTCTTTATTTCAAAATTTACAAATACATGTTCAAAAAAGAAATCATTCTTATTTTATTACTCATTTACGTTCTCATTCTCAGTTACCCGGACCATTAGTATCAGGTAACAATGCAGTGGATTCCTTAGTTATGTTCACCACACCCGTTGAAAAACATCAATTTAATCATGCAAATGCAGGACATTTGCATCTTAAATATAAGATACCTTTTACAAAAGCTAAACAGATTGTAAAAGCCTGCCCTATTTGTAGACCATTACATTTAAAAATTATTCCCGCAGGTGTCAACCCTCGAGGAACTCAACCTAATGAATTATGGCAAATGGATATTACACATGTACCTTCTTTTGGTCGGCTTTCTTATGTACATGTAGTTATTGATACCTATTCTTCATTTCTATGGGCTACTGCTCAACAGGGAGAATCCACTAAAAATGTTATTGTACATTTATTGGAGACTTTTACAGTTATGGAAATTCCTTCTAAAATCAAAACAGATAATGGACCTGCTTATACTAGCAGAACATTTAAACAATTTTGTGATCTCCATAATATTATTCATATTACAGGGATTGAATATAACCCCCAGGGTCAAGCTATTGTTGAAAGAGCACATGGCACTCTTAAGTTGCAAATTAAAAAATTAAAAAGGAGGAGTCAGGAGGATATTCAGATACCAATACTGTTTAAATTGCAAAACAGTCCAAAAACATTACTGCATCAAGCATTGTTTATTTTAAATTTTCTCAATTTACCACAAGGTGAAATATTAACAAGAGCTGAAAAACATTTTGAACAGCAACAACAGCCTTTTGTGATTAATGAACCTATTTGGACTAAAACAGCTCCAGAGGCTGAATGGGAGAGGGGCACATTGCTCTATAGGGGGAAAGGTTTTGGTTATATCTCCACAGAAAATGGAATTCAGCAGTGGGTCCCTGGACGATGGATCAGGACCCGCGTCTCCAGATCCTGTTCACCAGCCCCGGAGACAACTCCCCAAGGAACCGGAACCGTGCCTTCAGAAGCGAGCGCGAAACCAGCTAGAAGCTGAGGATGCTGAGTTTGTTCCTATCACAGCCATGGCCAGATTACAGCTAAGAAAATCCCGCCGCTCACAGCGACCAAATTTAAATCCCCTCCCTACATGGGGACAATTAAAGAAATTGACCATAGAAGGGCAACGGCTTGTCCTTCAAGCAGGAAAGCCTTTAAACCCCGAAAACTTGTTTTTAGCTTTATGTGCCTTGCTCACCGTTGCATCGGGGACTGAGGTACCTCCGCATTCGTACTGGGCATATATTCCAAACCCCCCTTTATTAGAACCTGTAAAATGGGGAACTAGTGATATTTTACTTTATACCACACCTAGAGAAATTTTGTCAGCACCGTGGGCTGATTTAACCCCCCACAATCAAGATGATGGGACACTATTCAATTTTACTTATTATGGTAATCAAAGGCCTATTTGCATTGGGGAACCGCCTTACATCCCTCTGGGATGGCAGTATTGGATTCAACATGAAATAAAAGCAGGCAACAAAAGGACAAGGCTTCAAGCCTTGGCTGCTCAAACCTTTAATGTTACCTGGAAAAATTTAACAGCACCTGATACAAATACATTTCCTGTATGCCCTGAATTCACTTATAAAAATATTTCTTATAATCCCATAATTTGGCAACTATGTATGGGAAAATTTGCTAAAAATATTGATGGGTATATTATTTGGGGACCATTTGGAAAATTCGTTAATGGATGTGCTGAATGGAATGAGACAAGATGTAATCTCTCTGTTGTGTATAGTCTTCCAGATCCAAAGAAAATAACTGACGGAGCTCCTATATTTCAACAAAAGACGGCTCTCTTGTGGTGGGGAGATGGTGGAATCGCTAACCCTGCTGTTGCAGCCGAAGAATACCCTCATCACCTTCAAAATCATATTTGGAAGATCCCAGCCGCTATGCAACCTGTAACCTTGTACAATGTTTCATATTCAGGGACTAGTCGATCTGTATCTACTACTTATAATTTTACTAGGTTTAAAATGTATAATATTACTGTTTGTGCACCTCTGCCTTATGTCTTTTTAGTGGGAACTTTTAATTTTACACATTTTTCTTGTACTTGTTTAAATTGTCAATTGTTTACATGCTTAAATAGCACACTAAATTTCACTAAGCCTTATACAGTTATGCTGTTACAACAAAAAACTCATATTTGGTTGCCTGTAAATTTAACTCGACCATGGTCTCAAGACCCGGTAATTTCTGTTACTACTGAATTTTTTAAACATCTGTTAAAACGTACAAAAAGATTTATTGGAATAGTGGTTGCTGTACTGTTAAGTCTGATAACTGTAGCCTCTCTAGCAGCAGTCTCAGGAGTAGCTTTACATACCTCTTTGCAAGAAAAACATGTTGTCGAATTATGGCATGAGAATTCTCATGAACTTTGGTTAACTCAGTGGCAAATAAACGCCAAACTACAACAACAAATAGACCTCCTTAAACAAACAGTTGAATGGATGGGTAGAAAAATATTGGCTCTTCAGCATCAAGTGTTTTTAAAATGTGATTGGAATTCAACTACTTTCTGTATAACCCAACGACCTTATAATCAGACAGAACATGAATGGGAAATGATTAGAATGTATTTAAATGGAAACACCTCTGCCCAGGAGGAAATAAAATCTTTGCATAATCAAATTGACAAGGATTTTGCAAAGCAAAATGATGATAAATCTCTAGCACAATTCGCGCAATTGCTTGCTCAATCTTTAAAAGGATTAGATTCCAAAGGAATCTGGCAGAACATTACCCACACTTTTAGTGGCATGGGACTTAGTTTAATTATAGTTCTCATTGCCATAGTTCTTGTGTATTTTTACTGCATAAGACGAAATGCTATTAATAACCTGATCTTATGGAAATTGTTGTTAAAAAATAAAAAGGAAGGAAGTGTGGGGGATGAGGTGTCACTTTGTAGGCCCAACCCCCTCTAACCTGCAATTTACAATAGCCGCCCTGGTATGCGAGAAGGAGGTAGAACGGGAATGCCTGTTCTCAGTGAGCCCTCACCCTCTGGAATCCATACTGTGAGCTGGCTTTGTTTTGCAGAAGTCTTGAGGAAGTGGCTGGCCACCCTTTGTGACACTAACAGCAGACAAATTAACAACATTCTTGAGCTAATGAATTTCTTCCTGGGCTAGAGAAGTTGTGAGAACTGGTTGTGATTATTTACTTCACTTAGATAGTTTTAGAATAAACATTGTAGTCTGTCACGTTGTAGCTTGCCACAAAGAATGCCTTTTCACTACTTAATTATCTGGGCTCTGTGAATTGATCGGGTTTACTATATATGAATCCTAAAATAAAGATTGTGCGTACAGTGCAGTGCAGTGCAGTGTAACGCGGTGCAGACAGCAAAGGTGTCTCTCCTGTCTTTCTTTTCCAAGCGCTGTACCCCCCGTGTCCCGACAAGGCGTGCGTGTTTACCTTGCCCGGAGTTCAGAGTGCTCTAGACACTCACGACAAGATCCCATCTCACAGAATGGCTATCATCAAGAAACCACCCAAAGACAAATGCTGGAGGGGCTATGGACAAGAAGAACCCTTCTCCACCGTTGGTAGGAGTGTATACTATAGAAATCAGTATGGATATTCCTCAAAAAACTAGAATTAAGATTTTCCCAAAAAAATTGAAAACATTATACCACAGCAATATATGTGTATCCATGTTTATGGCAGCACAATTTCTAATAGCTAAATCTTGTAAAAATGCAAATGCCTATCAACTGCAGAAGGGATAAAAAAAGATGTATTTTTATATAATGGAGTACTACTAAGCTACAAAAGGTAAATTTGAGGCTTTACAGGTAAATGGATGCAAATTGAGACCATACATATAAGTGAAATAAATCAAATGCACATGTGTAAACCTTGTATTGGCTCCCTAATGTAAAACCTGGAAGAGTAAATAAGATCCAAAATGTAGCTGGGTGTGGTGGCTCACGCCTGTAATCCCAGCACTCAGGAGGCTGAGGCAGGAGGATCGTTGTGAGTTTGAGACCAGCCTAAGCTCAAGGCCAGCCTGAACTGCATAGCGAGACCCTGTCTCAAAAAGAGAAAAAAAATTTTTTAAAAAAGACCCAAAATGTACACAGATATTGTGAAAGTAAAAGGGAATGAAACTGCTGAAAAGGAAAGAACAACTGGGATGGGGAAAAGGAAAAAAGAAAAAAAAGGAATATCTACTAATCTCTGAGTTCATCAAAAAGAACAGTTTGTGCTTTTATTGAACATTTTTTCATGACTATATATTCTAACCTGATAACCTATTTTGAAGATAGTAATACACAATACACTGACCATTGTTAATCTATTATTTTGTTTTGAAATTCTGTATCACTTATTTTCTTCATTTTAAAATTTAAAAGACACCTACACATTCATAGTCATTGTAGTATTAGTTTAATAGTCAAAACATAACAATTTACACATGTCCATCAGTGGACAAGTGGAATTAAAAACCTGTATATACAATGGAATATTATTCAACCTTTAAAAGGAGTTTCTCGCATTTGTCACGACCTGGGTGAAAGCAGAGGATATTATACTAAAGTGAAATAAGGTGGGGAAAGAAAACTTGCCTAATCTCACATATTGTACCAATCAGCTTTCAGTATTATAACAAAATACATAAGACAGTCAAATTATAAGGGGAAAGGTTAATTTTGGCTCACAGTTTTAAAGTTTCAGTCTACGGTCAATTAATTGGTTTATTGCTTTTAGACCTTCAATGAGACAGCATATCATAGCAGGAGCTTGTGATATAGGAAGCCATCATCTGGTAACCGTTAGGAAGCCAAGAAAGAGAAGAGGCATTTCCTTCAAGGTTATTCCTCCAGTGACCCAACTTCCTTCTGCTAATCCAAACTTGTCAAAGATTCTGTCAATTTCTCAAAAATACCACAGGCTGACAGTCAAGTTTTTAATACATGGGATCCAAACCCATTGCACCCACATGTGCAATCTAGAAAAAAAGGTAAATATATGGGAATTAGAAAAAAATACATGATTCCCAAGGTGACTGAGTGGCTGGAATTGGGGCAGAGTTAGGTCAAAAGTTACAAAATAATAGCTGTGTAGGATGAAAGTTTTAGAGATTTACAATTCAAAGACTAGTTCATGAAACATACTGTATTTGGAATTTCAATTAAATGGATAATTTTAACTGCTCTTGCCAAACAATCATACAGCATGATAGATTGTACTATGTGCTAGAAAGACATGCAAGAGAGATCGGACAGCAAACCTAAAAAGTCATCTTTCTTTTGTAACAACCTGCTTGAGCAGAAACTTATCCAGGTCTGTAAGTGAGAGCGCATACCCAAAAGATTTAACTAACTCACTCTGTGAGAAAAACATTAGCTCCTCGCTAAAACTCATTACCAGCTCTCAGCATTGCTACATTGGGAGACCCCTTCCAGCACATGAACCTTGGGGGGGGAGGGGGACAACAATCTATAGCAATGATACAGTGTTTGATGTCTTACTTCACTGTAGCAATCATTTTTGTGTCTATCCTCTAACAGTATGCTGTGTACCACAGTATACACAATAAAATGTGAGCAGTAAAACACACAAAACATAGATAAAGCTCACCAGGTAGTGCTGATAGTTATCTAGTTGAGAAACATTATTCTATGCACGAGTAGGGAGGTGGTTTCTGTAAAGATCTCAATAATAAATATTTTAGGCTCTGTATCCATCTGGTTTGTCACAACTATTCAAGCCTGCTACTGTAGTATGAAAGCTATAGATGACATGTGGATTATCCTTTCAAAAAAATTTTTGGTAGTACTAGTATTCTGCTACATGACAGGCAAGTGCTTGTCTATGGAGCTACATCTCTAATACTCTACAGATGATAAGTAACTGAATGAGAATGGCTGCATTCTTTTTTCCACTCAAGTAGCTTTTACAATAAACCATGTAAATTAACATTTATACTAATATACATACCTTGGGGGTGAATTTTAATGGTAGAAAAATTACATCATGTTTACCAGCTATGTGCTTTAAAAATAAGCCTAAAAGTACTGCTTTTATCGCATAAAATATTTAGAGCCTATGAATGATTTCTGCATCAACGGATATGATCATGTGACTGCTGTCTTTGGCTCTGTTAATATGGTATATTATGGGTATGGATTTACATATATTGAACCACCCCTACATTTCTGGGATGAATCTAAGTTGGTCATGATGTATAATTATTTCAAGAGTAACACAATCACACTTCAAATAAAATCCAACTGTGGACTGAAAGACCATATATAAATTAGTTCTTAATAGTCTATCTGAGCTCTCTCCTATCTCCCTTTTACATCTCTCTCACAGTCTTCTCTGGTTTTCTGGAGTTTGTAGGGTTTTCCTTTTTCCTCTTTTTAATCTTTTTTTCCTTTTAATCTTTTTTCCTCTGGTTTTTAACTCTTTTTTTGTTCTTTTTGCTTGTTCTCTTCTGCTACCTTTACTTAATACTATTAATTTCCTCTTACTCTTAAACAAGATCCTTTTGTCTTTATTTTTTTTCTCCTTTTTATTCATTGGTTAATTCTTCAAATTTTCCTTCTTTCATTCTCCCATACACCACCCCTCCACAGTTTTACTAGTATAACCATTAAGTTTTATTAATCTTTAGATAGTTAACTCCATGCTATTACTATGTAAGTCTTTTACATTAATGGAAATATAGCTGTTGCACTTAGTAAAATATTTACTGTATGTCAATATTTGGTTTTAATATTCATGCTATAATTATAGATCTTTGCTATGGCTAAGAGTACTACATTATTTCTTCTTATGGTATATTAATATCCAATTTTTCTTCAATGCTATTGCTGCTAGTTTAGTTGTTATTGCCAGACTGGCACAGATGTTCCTATTAATAGGTTTTCTATGTATGCCAGGATCTAGATTACCTTTGTGTCATCTATAGCCAGTAGTCCATGTCTAGAGAATAGGGTGTTGGACAGGTGGTCAGGTTTTTGGTACAGAGGCAAAAGCCTATAGTTAACCATGCTCAGAGTGCATCACTAAAAAGCAGACATTTACTACATAGACCTCCTTATTAGTAACAAAAGTCTTTCCACTGTAAGTACCCCTAAACCTCAACACAAAACAAATAGTAGAAACATGAGAAAACAAGCTAACAAAATACCTACAAAAACCCCCAACTCCTCCAAAGTAAAGAGCCATGAAGCACTGAGAAAGAGAAAATCAAAAGCCATGCAACTGAATTACTCAAAAAGTATCACAGGAGAGTAAACAAACAAACACATACCACTAAAGTGCTCAGTGAGCTCAAAAAAGATTTAACCAAACACTTGATGGACTTTCCAATACAATCCGTGAGTTAGTACACAACACTAACAAAAAGCTAGATGAGCTAAACAACACAATACAAAACATTAATGACCAAAGAAGCAAAGAATTAGAATCCATGAAAAAAATATCAAATGGGAATCCAGGAAATTAAAAGATCTGCTGAAAGTATGGGCAGTAAAAATGACCAGTGTGAGGAGAGAATGTCATAAATAAAAGATAAAGCTGGGGCTGGGGATTTAGCTCAGCGGCATCAGCACTTGCCTTGCAAGCAGGCGGTCATGAGTTCGATCCCTGGTACCGGTAAAAAGAAAAAAGAAAAAAAGATAAAGCTGCTTCCAGAGACTCATTATTCATAGATATTTTAAAAACAAAAGAACATTGCAAGATCATGACTTCAATTCCTGGGGGAAGGGAGGAGAACATGAAAAACGGGAAGGTGAGGGAATTAAAAAAGAATTATCGTGCTGCCAGGCATGGTGGCACATGCTTGTAATCTCAGTACTTAGGTGGCTGAGTCAGGAGGACTGTTGCAAATTCAAAACCAGCTTAGGCTACGGAGTGAGGTCAAGGCCAGCCTGAACTGCTTAGCGATATCCTGCCTCAAAAAGCCAAGAAAAGAGGACTGGGGATTTAACTCAATGGTATAAGCGCCTGCCTGGCAAGCACAAGGTTGTAAGTTTGATCCCTAGTACCCTTTCAAAAAAAAAGAATTAACATTCCCATAATCCCAGCACTCAGGAGGCTGAGGCAGGGGGATTGCTGTGAGTTACATAGGGAGGACAGCCCAGTTACACAGTTCAAAGCAACCCTGAACTACATGGCCTGTCACAACACATCCCCCTCCCAAAAAATAAAGAATTAAAAGGTGTTATATAGATGTCTCAACTTCCAGGGCAGCCTAAACTGCTTCATGAGACTTTGTCTCAAAAAGACAAAAAAAAAAAAAAAGAAGTCCCAACTCCCCATGGGAAATGTAATCACCATATATATATGGGGAGGGAACATATATTCTTATTCAAAAAAATAAAGAATTTTTTT